GGGGGTGACGTCAAACTGACCCACCAAAGGGACAAATCGCCAACAAGGAGCGGGGGCCCTGTTTTACCCAAACGATAACGTGTTGCATCTCACGTGCGCCGTGTAAAACCAAAACCGGCTCTTCCCCCTTTATCTCTGTATAACGCCTGTCTCCGATCAACAAAGTCGAGCCCGACTCGATCATCGTTGTCGCGGTATGGCGGCGGCGTGTAGTCGCTTCTCTCTCTCTCCCTTTCTGCGCTACTACAAGCCAAGTTCGATATCAGCGGGGCGATAACCCAGCGGAGCAGCGAAAGAGTGTTGCGAGCGGGACGGGGAGTGAAAAGGGGGTCAGGGCAGTGGATGTCGAAGGGGGTGACTGTGTTCACATCACAGGTTTTACGGAAACGTGGGAGACGTAGCGCCTCCACCGCCGCCTCGGCAGGCGACGGCTGGTCAATTGTCAAACTCAGGAAAGTCACGCCGGTCGCTTTGCATACCGTCCCCGTGGCCACGGCGAAGCCGGCCCGCGGTGGAAGGTTAATGAGCAAACGCTCACTCTGACGGGCCCAGCCGGGCACGCCGGGCACTACACACCAAGGCGGCATCAGGGATTGAGACACTGATGTTTTTAGGGTCCACGGTGGAAGGCCCATGACCTTATAACTCTTACACAAAGCGACTAACACGACCCTTCCCGAAGGAAGACCGGTAGGTCAATTATTCCGAGACGCATTAAATGGAAGAAGTGCCCCTACGTGCTTGATCTGTATGTGTCCGCGCACGGAGGCCCTGGTGGCTGCTGACCCCGCGATGGACCCCCTCACCCCCTCCTCCCCCTCCTCACGCGACCCGATTGCGGCCGAAGCAGAGCCGAGGCCCGCCGAGCCGCGGTGCCCAGGAGTAGAGGGGAAGGGAGGGGGTGCGGGGGCCCTGGGCCTGGCGGGGCCTGGCGGGGCACGGGTGGGTGCCCCTGATGGTGCCCGCGCCGTCCGTGCCCACCACACCAACCACAAGCCGACCAGAAGCGTTCCGAGCCGGCGCGGACGCGAACGTCGACCACGCGCTCCTGTCCGCGGTGCCTAGCCAGCGTGCAGTTTAGAGTAGAGTGATAGAGAGGTCTTCGCCCTCGGGACTGACCCCCTCGTGTGTGTTCGAGTGATTCGTTTGCGCTCCAGTGCAGTGCTGTGTGAGTGACCATCAGTGAGTGAGTGAGTGAAGAGGGAAAGCCGAGGCCATGGCGTTGTCCGTGCTCCGCTTCGGGACCGGGCTCCGGGTGGCGCAGGGCGCCGCGTTCAGGGCGTGCCTCCCCGTCACCTCCGTGGCCCCCAGCATCAGCAATAGCAGCGGAGTGCAGCAGGTACGTCTTTTAGTAGTCTGAGCAGCAGACTCACGGCCTGGTAGTCAGGCAGACTCAGGGGCGTGGAGGAGCAGCGTGGCAGGCTCCAGCCAGGGCAGGGACCTGAGCAGGCTCATCGAGTGCGAGTGCCTCGCCACGACTGGAGTCCGCCCGCCGGCACTAGCAACGGCTTTCACCTCACTGACGTAACATGCCATCTGAAATGGGCCGAACTCGATCCTAGCCGCGGGGAAAGCCTCTCCACTGGCCCCGATGTGCGCGTCGCGGGTGTCGTATCTCGCGTGGCGTGGCGTGGCGTGGCGTGGCGTGGCGTGGCGGTGCATCGCTTTGCAGAATCAGCGCTTCCCTGTTGTGGTGCCGCCCATCCGCACGGCCGCCACCGCCGTGCCCTAGTTCGGCCCGCACCAGCTGACCGCAGTTTGGCGCCCTCCACGCACGTCCTCGTCGTGGCCTTCGGCCGTCACCAAATCCGCACCGCACAGCTGTGAATCCGCGGCCCGCTCGCCTCTCTCCAGCACGCCTCTTTCTCCAGAGAGGCGCAAGGCGGCCGTCGGTTCGGCGCAGACGATTCCCAACGCCGACGCCGCCTGTGAACGGATATACGCAACCTCTCGAACCGGTTCCCCAGCCGCGAGTCGCGCCGCCCGTCTGTCTGTCGGCCCCCCATCGCCGGAGTCACTTTTTTTTGGCGCCACGCCTAGCTCCAGGCTTGGCAGGGCGGCTTACTGTAGAGAGACAGTCTGGCCGAAGCGAATACCGTCGCGAGAACTCCTGTGCGGCCCCGATCCCCTTTATGTATGCCGGCTTCACGCCGTCGAGGTCGCCGATTTGTTGTTGTTGACGGTAGGGTCGCCGCTGACCCTGACGGCGCCGCGGGGCCGGCGCAGGCCCCATTGACACACGGCGCATTGAGGCCAAATCTGCGAGAATGCCACTGCGTTCCGCTCGTGCGGCCGCCAGTCGGCGCCCTGGAGGTAGGCAGCGCGCGTGCACGCGTGCTGAGCTGGCTGCCGGCCTGCGGTGCCGTCGGCGACACTGACGGGCATCTGGCCGCCGAATCTGTTCGCGCCGCTCGCCGCCACGCCTCGCACTGAACGCCCCGCCGAGTGCCTGACATTTGGCCTGGTGAAATGATAACACGAATAGAGCCGAACGGAACAGCGCAGCAGCAACGGCGCGGCGGCGGGGGCCCTGTCCTTCCGGCTGCCACTGCTTTGCCTGCACGGCCGCACTTCACACCGGTGTGTTGTCAAAGACACCCAAATATATACCACCCCCCCCTCAAAAAAGGGAAGGAGAAAAACGCGCCAACACTACAAGAGACATCATCATTGCCCTCACGGGCGGACCCGACGCGTTCCAGTGCGTGGGTTCCAGGCAGGTTCCAGGCGGGTTCCAGACGGCTCCAGCTGACCGCCCCTCTCCATCCTTTTGTTTACAAGCGAAGGGCCGTGGTGGCCATGGGAAAGAGGGGGGGGGGGGGGGGGGAGTGCAATGTGTCCGTCCACCGTGAGGCGTCAAAGGGAACGGGGGGGGGGGGGGGGCACGCGAGGTTGCCGCTGTGAGCGCCGCGGCCGCGAGAGGGAAGGGATCCGGACGGCCCGGAGGACGCGGGCAATTTCAAATTGGAGGGGGGGGGGCAGCCCGGAAGGAAGCACACAGGACAAAGCGACAGGACAACGCCCCCGCGCCCACCGTGGAGTGCGCCCTCCCCTCGCACCACTGACCGCTTGACCCGCGGCTCGGTCCACCAGTCTGGAGGCTGGAGGCCTCACCGGGCCAACGTGACGGCTGATGGTCCCACAATGGTGGCGGCGGCGGCAGGCAGATTATGCTCGATCAAGGTCTGCGGGCGCCTGTTGCTGCTGCTGCTACGTGAGGGTGAAGGGCTCCTCGCCGAACTCCTCGTGGACGCCGTGGCCTACGTGACGACCGGCAGTCTCGATCCGTGTGTACCTGACGGAGCCGACCTGCCCCAATGGCCGGCGCACGTCGCACTGGACCCCCCCCCC